GCCGCTCCCCAGCAGCCTGGGGCTCCAGACGCCTCCCCAGCTCCGCCGCCCTTCTCTGGACACGCTCCAGCCCCCCCAGGTCCTTCGGGGAGGGAGGGGCCCAACCCTGACCCCAGCACTCGAGGTGAATTCCTTCTCCCACAGGAGGAGGACAGCCAGCTGTACATGCATGCGTGCTAACCCCGTGCCGGGGCGGAGGGGAAAGGCGCCAGCTTTTCTCACTGGGGGCCCTCTGACCGCCCGCAGGCGTACGAGCTGCGTCCCGACCCGTGCATCAAAGACAAGCACTGCCCAAAGCTGAGCGTCACCTGCAGCACACAGTCCTCACCGTAACGCAGAGTGTGCGGCCCCTCCCCTAACGGCGGGCAGGACCGCCCCAGCCCCACGTTACTCCGAGGGTATTTCCCAGTGAACGGAACCGCTCCTTCAGCAGCACTGCTGGGGCCAAGTGCCTGCAGGCAACAGATGCACCCACAGCAAGAGGCCAGGCAGCAGGAGGAGGAGGAGAATCCGAGACTCGCTCGTGGTTTAAAACGTGGCCACAAAGAATCCAGCGACGTCCACCTGCACCTCCCGCAGCCCGCGGCTGCTTCGGCAAAAGAGCAAGAAGCAGGCTGTAACCCAAGCGCCGCTCCACTGGCAAGCCGCCACCAACAAGCTTCTGGCTCCCCGGCCAAACAACAAACCAGGAGGCAGGCGGGTGCCGAAGGGCCGGGGTAACAAGAGGCACCTGAAACCTGTTTCACCTTCCGCAACCTGCGTCTAAAGCCACGCAGCCTGCGCAGACCCCTGGTGTTTTCTGGGGAGCGTAGGGAACGAAGGAACCCTACAGGCATCTTACAGATGGGAGAGGTGGAGCTTGGCAACAGCCCAGAGGAGGCAGAAGGATACCGAGTATTTTTACTCCGTATTTTAAGACATCATCTGCCACTTCTCCCACCTCACCACGATGACAGCCAGCCCAGCCCACAGCGCTCAGGAGAAGGACAAACAGCCGCTCCCATCCCCGGGTGTTGCTGCAGCCAGACCTGGGCAGCTCGCACCCGGGTGCTCTGCAACAACCACAAAACCCAGCGAACGCGGATGGTTCCAGCACACCCGGGGACAGCAGGGCACTCCCAGAGAAGTAAAAAAAAATCATTTCTGGCCTGGAAGAAGCAGGCACCCTGCCTACGGCTCTTCAGCGTGGGCTGTCAGCACGCACGCTGCCCCACGGGGGGGGGGG